TTCTCTCCCTCCCTCCCTCCCTTTCTTTCTCTCCTTCGCACTCTGGTCTTTTCTTTGCCTCCGCAGCCGGCCAGGGGGCGGGCCCTGCAGCCTTTGTTGCCTGCGGACCCAGCGCAGCCGCCTGCCGGGCCGGAGCTCGGGCCCCAGGACGCCGGGAACTGCACACGGGTCGGGCATGTCCTGAGCCGGACCCGGGACCGGGCAGCGAGCAGACGGGACGGACGAGAGTGTGCGTTCAGGGTCGCCAGGCGGCCGCCTGGCCCCGGCCATGCCCGGCGGCCTGAGTCCCCGCAGCCCCGCGCCACTGCTGCGCCCCCTCCTCCTGCTCCTCTGCGCTCTGGCGCCCGGCGCCCACGGATCCGCACCAGGTGAGTGGCTGCCCCGTCCCGGTCGGCCCTACCACCCTTTCCCGCTTTCCCAGCCTCGGTTTAGCCCCTTCTCACCTCCGCAGACCCCGCGCCCTCCCGGCTCTGCCTGGAGCTGTCGCGTACCCCGCTCCCCTGGGGATAGGGACAGGGGTGGGGTTGGGGCAGCGAAACCGCGCCGCCGGGGAGCCTTCTCCAGCCACCGACTCCGCTACCTACCCGAGCTGTAGCCAGACTAAAACCCCATACGCTCTTCGGGCTCCAGATTACCCATCTCCCGTGCAGCAGAGCGCATCTGTCTCTGCCGGGGATCTCTCGTTAGAAGGGCTGGACGGAGCGTGGCTTACACACGATGATTCGGTGTCTTGCCTTCATCAGTGTGCCTCGTGTGAAAAGCAGCCTGGCCAAGACTCTGCGGGCAAGGGCGGAGGGTCGCAGGTCTACGCGGTCCCCCGCCGCCGCCCCTGCCCACCGCCTCTGGGCTGCCCGTCCGGCCCTCGGCGGCTCCCGGGGCCGGGTCTCGCGCGGCCCTTGGACTTCCTGCCTCCCCCTCCCCCTAGTGTGAAGGCGCCGGGAGTGGAGCGGGGAGAAGGAGCTTCTTTCCCCGGCCCTGGGCTTGGCTCTCCCCGCCCCGCCCGGCCGGCCTCCGACGAGCCTCTGGCCCGGGGCCAGAATCTTGCTTGGCCGCCGTCGGCCGGTCAGCGGAGCTCCTGTAGTGTCCGGAGCAGCCGGCCTGGGAATTTAGGAACAGAGGGTGTAGGGGACCCTTGGCCTGCGGCTCAGGGAGCTTCTGGTCTGATGGTGGCGGGTCGGACGGTGGGGAGAGCCTTGCAGGCGAGGCAGTCGGGGAGGCTTTGTAGGGGAGGAGGGGCCTGAGCTTGGAGGGATTGGAAGGATGGATGAACTTTGGATGGGCTGGAAGTGTGTGTGTAGGGGCGGGGGTGCATCCCGGCAGGGCGTTGGGGCGTGGGAGGGGTGTGGATTTGGCTGAACTAGGCTTGCGTGCTGGGGATGGGGGAGACCTGCCTCTCCAGATGAGGGATTGTGGTTGTGAGGCTAGAAAAGCATCTGGCTGGGAATGGAGGGGATTTAAACCAGATCTTAGAGGTTTGGGGAGTGTTGAGAGGAGGAGCTGATGAAAGCAGTGTTTTAGGGAGGCTCTAGCAACAATGCATAGGGCGTAGAGCAAACATTTAATAAGACCTACTATGTGCCAGCTTCCCTAATTCTTATTTCTCATCATCTCCACAACAACTCTGCAAGGTGCATGAAAGAAAGTCCTTTTATGGGTGAGGGAACAGGCTGAGAGAGGAGACTGACCTGCTAGTTTGGACATCGGGGCTACCTGGGTGAAGCCTGTGTTTTCCCACTGCTCAGAGCTGGGGACCCATGAGGATGAACCAGGTGAAGGGGATGAGGCAGCAGGCAAGTGGTTTCCTCAAGGAATTGCCCGAACTTGGGCCCAGGCCCCCTGACAGCTGTGGGATAAAGCTAGTGGAGGGAGTTCCCTGTGGTCAGGCTCCCTTTCATTTCCACTGCAGGCCAGACACAGATATGAGCCCGCCCATTTGTTAAATGGGGATAATGGTATCCACTTCACAGGGTTTTTTTTAAGAATTAAGTGAGATGCTGAATGTGACTGCTTAGCACAGGGCAGAGACTGCCATTTGGTGGCCATTATATTTATTAATCTGCCAGGCAGACCCAGTAGGATCAGAGAGTCCTTGGTGCATCTTGTAACTTGGACCTGCCATTCGGGGTGGAGGCCGGTTAGGCACCCCTCCTATCTACCCTGGATCCCCCCTTCAGGGTGAGTGTCTGTCTCCAGCGTCCCCATAGATACCCAGTGGCCTGGGCCCTCCCCGGTCTGCTTGCACCCAGGATCCCCAACCCCGAGCTGCTGAGCTCTGTTTTCTTTGGAGTTTCCTGGGGGACTTAGGCCAGGGCTCAGCCTACCGAACACTGCCTTCTTTGAGGCCAAAGAGCACATCTTGGGCTCCCTTTTAAGAAAATGTGACAAACCAAAGGATTTGTTGGGATTGCTGCTTTGGTGGGGCAGGGACCCACCCAAACCCTCGCACTTGTGAGCTCTCAGTGTGTGCATGCACACGTGCCTGCAGGCAAGTGCAGACGGGCTTGAGGAGGAGGGTGTGTGTCACACACACACACTGTGGTTATTTTTTCTCTTTGGCATGAGCTATGGGTCGTTTGAAGGGCTGGATTGTAACTCAGGTACTTGATAAGGAGGTGAGGGTAAACACCATGTTGGCATTTCTCTGGTGGAAGCTCCAAAGTGACAGTTCTGTCACCTAGGGATGATATTCAAAGTATTTAACACCTGGTGTGGCTGGATCTCCACCCAATCACAACTGACCTTCCTCTCTGGCAGAACAGGCTCAGCTGTGAACCACTGGAATAGTACCTGCTCCCATCCCACTGCGGCTTTAGCCCCGCTGGCTCAGCTCTGATGCACCCAGGAGCCAGAGACGAACTGCAATTACCCTTTGCTGGCACTGGGTGGTGGTAACTTCAGCCACCAAGTTCTCTGCAGGGGTCAGCTGTAAGAGATGTTGAAAGAGTTGGTTATTTTTAACTCATTCTGTTCTCCTTTAAAAAATATTTTAATGGCAAAACAATACATATTATTAAAAAAAGAAGGTAGAACAAAATAAAATTAAAATTATTGCAGTAAAAGTGGTAACATCCTGTAAATCTTTTTTTCTTTTTGATTAAAAAACCATTTTATTAACCCATTAAGCAAAGAGATAAAAATAGGTTTTGAAAGTATTCTTTAGAACTTCTCTTGCTAATTTTCAATAACTTAGTTTACATTTTCTATGTGCTATCTACTCTTCTAAGCCCTTCCATATTAACTCATTGAATTCTCAAACAACCTAAGGAACAGCTATCATCAGATCCATTTTACAGACAGAGAGACTGAGACTGAGTGGTTGAGTAATTTACCCATGGCCTCATAACTGTGGGTGGCCGAGCTGAGACTCAAACCCAGGCCCTCTGACTCTGGAGCATACTAATTCGAATGCCTTTCACCTGCAGCATGTTTCTGCCTGGCCCCATCATAGTTTTGAACTTAAGAGGATGCTTCTTTATAACTCTCTTTAATTTCTGTCTTGCAATAATTTCCCAAGGTCTAGAGCAGAGATTCTCAACAGGACTGCACATCCCCGAGATCATGGATCCCTCCCCAGGGACACTTTCTAGCTTTTGGAGCCATTTCTCCCCAGTGATTCAGATTGCCAAGTCACACGCATATGACCTCTTCCACCTACCTGTGTTTGAGGACACTGCTGTCACCTAGAAGTGTGTTGGGTAGCTTCCGTTTTTCTAGTGTACTGAGCACTTCAGGGCTGGTTGGCATCAGCAGCCCCCATACCTTCAGCTCATCTTTAGCAGCCTTGGCTGTGACTGTTCACGCCCTGGGAACTGCTGGTAATACTCAGTTAAAACAAAGCCTTGGAGTGTAGATGTTATTCTCCATCTCTTTGCCCTGTGATCCTCCTGATGTTTTCTGACCTCCTTATATTCTCTGAGAAGGTGAGGAAACTGAGGCTCATCAAGGTGAAATGACTGTCCAGGCCATACAATTATTAAGTGGCTGAGTTGGGACCCCAACTGGGTCTTCCAGTGTTCAAAGCCCATGCTTTTGACAGTGCATTATTTTCTCAGTCCATTGTCTCTCATTTCCCAAAACACATGCCTGGGCCCAGCTTAACTTCTTGCTGCTTGTTCCCGGCACTACTGGCTTCTTCCTGGTTCTCTGGGGACCCACCATGTGGTGTCCACCACCAACATGCCCTCTTCATCTTCATAGTTAAACATGTGCCCACATGTCCGAGGACATTTCACATGTGCCCCCTTTGACAAAGCTTTCCTTCAACCCTGTCTGTCTGTGGGCCCCTCCCCTTGCTTGGACCTTCTCAGCACTGTCCCGGGGGAAGGATCACAAGGGCCTTGCACCATTTCTCTGAGGGCAAGGATGGCGTCTTATACATTTTCCTGGACTTGGGGGCACCAAACTCTCCCTCCCAACACCAAATGCCATGGACCAGGTAGGTTAACATAGGGCTGGTGGGAAGAAGACATTTTCCTTAAAACATAGGGCCTCTTGGGCCACCTCTTGTTTTCTCATTTTTGTTAGAGATTCAATTCTTTACTGAATGAAAAACAAGACAAGTGTGACGCTGAGGGCAATGTATATTTAGCTAAAGCTTTGGGAATAGCATAGGGAGTGGTGGAGACTGAGGTGGAGGGGGAGCACAGTCCTTCTCTAAAGGGTCGCTTCTGACAAGTGGGAATTTAGGCCTCACATGGGTAGATGATAAAACTTTTCAAGGAAAGCTGAAAATTAAGGGTTTTGTACTTGATTATGTGATTTTTTTAAAATAGGCAGTTGATTAAATATTTTAAATATTTGTGCCAACCCAACAAACCACATCTCCCCCCACCCCAAAAAATCAATAAACTGACAAGAAACAAGTCTGCAGGCTGCAGTTGTGAAGTTGCCATCCCAAATGCCCTTATTAGGATGTCAGAGCAAGAGGTCTTAAATTATACAGCCCAGTGGCTTCTAAATGCCAGCCCCTGAAAATGGTTACATCAGAATCCCTAGAAGGTTTAGAAGAATACAGAAAAAACACAGATTCTGGGGCTTCAGAGCCCTGGGTCTATGGGATCAGAGTCTCTGAGCTGAGACCTGGGTGGCTGCAGTTCCTCAGAGCTCTCCAGGTACTGCTGATGTTAAGCCAGGTTCACTTCCAGTGAGGAATTTCCAAACTTCCCTGATGATCACAGTCCCCTGAGGCTCCTGATAAAAACACAGCTTCCCAGTCCCATTTCCTGGAGATGCTGATTCAGTGGGTCTGAGACAGGGCCTGGGAATTTGTTTTTTAACAAATTCTCATCTGAGAAGTCTGGAAAATCCTTGCACTGGTGCCCTCCTGAAACTCAGAGCCAGGGAAGATTTGTCCAGAACCACATAGCAAGTTACCCCAGCCCACCCTGCCTTCTGACTCTCAGAGCATGCTTTGATGGCCCACCCGCTGGGGCAGTGTGGGCGGTGGGGGATGTCCTCAGCAGAGGGGCACACCACTGGTGCAGGCAGGGCACTCTACATGTAGTTTGGCAGGAGACAGGGAGGGTGGGTTGGGTTTCTGCAGCCTGGCTCGTACAGAACTTCAGGCTGTACTTGGCAGCCACACAGAGAGCCCTGGTGGGACAGCTGCGCGGCACCCAGGCATTCTTGTGGGCCCAAGGAGTCATTGTCATGGGCAGCCACAATCTGAGCTGAGCTTCAAGCCAGTTGGTCTGGGCAGGCCCTGGGGCTGGGAGAAACCGCAGGTGGGCCACTTTCCTTCCTGCTCCTCAGAGCCTGGGAGCTGCAGAGAAGGAAAAGGGGAGACAAGAGCATCAGCTCTGGGGGTCCTGCCCACCCTGGCGGTGCCGCTCTGATGTGTGTATGTGTCCACGTGAGATTTCTTTTGAGGACTAGGTCTGGTGGCCAAAATAGTTTGAAAAACTTGATCTAGTCCAACTCCTTTATGTTGGCGATGGGGAAACAGGCCCAGCTGCTAAGAATGTAGAACAGTGTTACTGAAGAAACTGAAGCCATTTGGGAGATTTTACTACTCTCGCTGCCTGGCTTTAGTCCAGTCTTGGCACTTCTCTGAATGTCCCTCTGCTTTCTCCAGAGGCAATCTGGAGACTTTACTGCAGGTGTCCTAACCTGGGATCCGCAGCCACAGGGACACAGGTAGGATTCAGAGGATCCATGAACGTGGATGGGAATATATTACATCTTTAATTTTTCTAACCTTGAAGTGAAATTTAGCATTTCCTTCAATTATAAATATTAGCAACAAATCACAACAGTATTAGCAGCATCTGTGATTTTGCTACGAACAGGAAAAAAGCAAATTTTTTAATCTCAATACAGTTGCAGGTATCTTGAAATAAGGTTGATGCTCATCAGTACTTCAAAAGCACCATAGTGGTTAAATCTGCTGTTAGATCTTTAATGCATTAATAAAGGAGCACATAATTCCACATCTACTTTTTAAATTATTTTGATAACTGTATTTCAATATAATCAATTTCCTTCGTATTCCTGTATATTTTCTCTTATGCATTTAAAACAATATTCTGAGGAGCAGAATCCATGGGGCAAAAAAAAAAAAAAAAAGTATGAATCAAGCCTTACTGGGAAATCCAAGCAGACAGAATGACTAGGAAATGATTCTGCAAATGGCAAGGGCCTGAACAGAAGTCCACAAAAATTTCCCAGCCCTGGAACCTTTTCTTCAAATGAACTCTTGCATGTGAAAGAAAGAAACTAGAGCTGCTCTGCTGAAGTGGTAGTGGTGAGGGGCCAGGGAGCCCTACCTGGGTGGTCCTGCTCTGACTCCCCATGTCAGAAGGCCAGGAGATGCGTGCAGAATCTTCAGGCACTTAAAAAACCCATCAGGCTAATAATAGTCATAATAATCATAACTGCCATCACGTTCAGTCAGTGGGCCAGGCATTGTTATGTGGATAATCCTCACAACAGCTCCAAGAGTGTAAGATATTATCCCCATCTTACAAATTTTACACAAATATCTACTGGGAAATTACTAGTTTCCAGCCATTCTTCTGGCATTTAAAATCTTCAACAAAGACTATAAAAATTCTTGCCCTCCTAGAGTTCATATTGGGAGGAGATAGAGATAGAAAAATGGAAAAAATAATGAAGATGTTAAGTGATACAGTATGTCCGAAGTGCTATGGGGAAAAATAAAGCAGGGAAGGGGGATAGTGAGAGCCTGGGAGTTGCAATTTTAAAATAAAGTGAGGAGAGCTTTGAGGAAGGACTTGAGGGAGGTGAGGGGTTTAGTCACGTGGATAACTGAGGGAAGCGTGTTCCAGGTAGAGGGAACAGTGATGCAAAATCTGAGGCAGGAGCATGTCTGACTTGTTTGAAGAACAGCAAGGAGGCCAGGGGGCGGCAGGTGTTGCAGAGACGAGATTGGAGACGTAATGCTGCCTGGGGTCCCACAGGCCGTTGCTAGAACTCTTGACTTCAGCTGTGTGGGAGCTGAGAGCCACTGCAGAGTTTTGAGCAGACAAGGGCCCTGATCTGACTGATCCCTGTAATGAGTCCCTGTGAGTGCTCTGTTGAAAGCCGACCAGGGGAGAGGGATGCCAGGTGGGCAAGAGTGGAAGCAGCGGGGCCTGTTAACAAGTTATCCCTATAACCTAGATGGAGCAACCGAGGCGCCGAGAGGTCAAGTAGCAGAGCTGGTGGCGGGCGGCGCGGTGAGGATTTGAATCCCGGCACTGTGACCTCAGCCGCCCTCGCCTGGCCGCTCCCTACTCCGGTCCCTGGGTCTCCTCCCTGCAGGGCACGCTGCCAAGGGCCGGGCGGCGCTGGACATCGTGCACCCGGTGCGCGTGGACGCAGGGGGCTCCTTCCTGTCCTACGAGCTGTGGCCGCGCGCGCTGCGCAAGCGAGACGTGTCCGCGCGGCGCGGGGCGCCCGCCTTCTATGAGCTGCAGTACCGCGGCCGCGAGCTGCGCTTCAACCTGACC